GATCTAATGATCACTCTGTGTTGTATCTACCCAAACTGCGCCACCACTGCCAACTACACAACAAACAGCAACTACAATTCTGTTGTCATCTATGATGTACCCCAGGGCCTCTATGACCGTGTCCTAGTCAGTGCTCTTTTCGGGGCGAGAATGGGGCTTTCTCCGAGTTCTCCCTTGCCAAACAGTCTGACATAGTCTGACGCTAACGAGGCGGAAGCAATGAATGCCGATTGGTCATNACATAGTCTGACGCTAACGAGGCGGAAGCAATGAATGCCGATTGGTCATTGGGGTCATGCTGTACCTTCGTGAGCAAGAAATCGTCAACGTAGACCCTGGCCAAGAGATCGTCCGCGGGTCCCCCGCCTTTATGCGGTCTTCCGCCTGCCGACGATGGTATTGGGGTTGGGGTGCCTTTTTCCCAAGGAGGTTTTATTTTCACGTGGGACATCATTGCGATTCCTTCTGGTAGTAGTTGAGCGTTCGGAGGACGTGTTGCGGTGCGATTGCTCTGCAGCGGAGGTTAACACACCCCAAAATCCTGGTGACGCTGTCCAGCCAAAGGTCAGCCGTAGGTCCGCTACAAGCACGTCTCCTATCACGTAGCAAGAGTTGTGAGCATGATCTGGTGATATCCTCACATTTCTGAACGCAGAGGTGACATCAGCCTTGGCTGCGAGGATTCTCTTGTCGGGCCATCTTACTCCTAGTGAGCTCCTCGAGGAAACCTGGTAGGGCTTCGCCGCACAGGCAACGTGGAACTCCAGACATAATGGTATCTTTGTTGAGCCCACCTTTTGACCCCTTGCTGTTCGTGCGTAGAAGTAGATAGTCGAAAAGTAGCCGTTACGTAGGACGCAGCTGGGACAACTAGAAGGGTATGTGCTGAGAGGCTTTGGATAATAGTGCGGAGTCCCCGTGTTCTCTCGAGAATTGGGGCCTCTCCTCGTTCTCCCTCTCTCCTCTCTCATGCGAGCTAATACACACAGTTAAACAGCAGCCCCAAGTCCGCCGGCCCTTAACAGGGCTAAAGCTCACGAACACTTGCTAGTGCTTGGGTCAAAGGAGAGGTCGTTGATGATCCTAACTTTTTTCCCTGGGACCGCTCCCAACGGGGCTACTCTGATCCCACGTACGTCCGACGAGCACGCCTTTCTCAGGACAATACAACTGGTACGCTTAACATTGTTGTCGCATAGTTGTTCCCACACTTGTGTTTGGTGATCGTCTATGCTACGGTGGTTGCCGTATGCCAAGGTTTTCTTATGGTTTTGCTGCGAGTCTAGAGTGGGGGCCGGGGCTCCTTCACCGACTATCTCAATGAGGTCATCGACACCCGGGAAGCCCTTCTTCTCTCCGAAATACTGTTTGACGTCGCTTACGTCCAACGGCGGTGACACCAGAGTGCCGCCGATTCCCCTCGCGACGTCTCCCAGCCTTCCATCGTGGAGCTTTACCAAATCACTACCAATGTCCGCCATCTTCCGAATGATACATTGCTTCTCGTCTAGTGAGTGTATGCTTGACGCGAGTCTTCTTCTTCTCTGTACCTCGAGTCTATCGGTCAGAGTTTTTGAATTTTTGAACGAGGTTGTATTTTTTTTACTCTCTAGGGCCGAAGGTTCTTTCCCCGCCCCAAAGAAAGTGAGAAGTCGCTGAATTCGACCCGCAATTATTTTGCATTGACATCCATCTGGATCGGCAGTATATTCAACGCCTCGACATAGCTCAGCCCGGTAGAGCGACAGACTGTAGTGGTAAGCCGTGGTCATCTGTTGGTCCTTGGTTCGAATCCGAGTGTCGAGATATCTTTTTTCAAGTAGTACCAACATGGAAGAAAGAGGGTGTACCTCGTTCTCTCCGGCCCGTCATGGTGAAGTCTCAGTTGTTACCTCTCATTGCGCGCAGAGGGAGTGGAGGACTCCAGAATATCTGTCGTTGATTTCTGTTGACTTGCGGACGCCTCGGGGCCAGTTTATTTGAGTGCAACTTTAGTTACTAATAGCCTGCGACCACGGGAATCGACCGCGTCGAGTGTTGGATCAGCACGGACATACTACGGAGGTACTGGGTTGTTGNGAGTGGAGGACTCCAGAATATCTGTCGTTGATTTCTGTTGACTTGCGGACGCCTCGGGGCCAGTTTATTTGAGTGCAACTTTAGTTACTAATAGCCTGCGACCACGGGAATCGACCGCGTCGAGTGTTGGATCAGCACGGACATACTACGGAGGTACTGGGTTGTTGTTGTTTTTGTTTTTCTTCACATTAAACTCGTGTCAGTTGCTAATCCCAAAATCTAGCAAAGACTCGGTCCGTGGTCACAAAAATGCTAGAGCCATCAGAAGATCTAAAGAACACACACTATTAGCGAGACAAGGGTACGCAGGCCCGAGGAGGCACACCTGCAATCCCTGCAGCACGTTTGCATGCTCAAAACTGAACTACACGGCCACACACTACAGTTCAACTACAGCAGCAGCATCACCCCCCTTGTCCCGCATTTAAACAAAACGAATGTTTGTCGCGACTACAGCGTACTGCTGTCTGAAGTGCTGTCTGTACAAAAATAACACCATAGATAGACTAGTGCATGGTACATAAGCTCGGGGCATGCAGCTGCTGTCTGAAGTGCTGTCAGAATGAGTCCGTGGACATACAATGAAGAAGAACACCCAATCAAAGCCATCATTCATTGCAATTGACAATCAATCACCCGAATCTATCCAGATCATCTGTGTTAGGCACACACAGCAGTGTAAACATCGACACTGACTGACTATTATTAAGGGTCCATTTAGTATAGTACGTACTATTAGTACTTTCCAGTATTTTAGTAAGTATTTGGCTCACGGTACTGTACTGGGGGTTTAGTACGTACCTCCATCCTGTACTGTACTTACTATTGCGTTTAGTACAGCTCTTGATACGTACTATACGTACTATTGCGTTTAGTACAGCTCTTCATACTGTACTATACGTACTATTGCGGTTAGCACAGGTCTCAATACTTACTCTCGCCCCAGTACAGTATTTCACCAAAATACTATACGTACTGTTGCGTATAGTACAGCTCTTCATACTGTACTATACGTACTATTGCGTTTAGTATAGCTCTCAATACTTACTCTCGCCCCAGTACAGTATTTCACCAAAAGGGCTTTTCCAACACGGAGATGTAGCATGGATCAAAGCATTTGTTGGATTTCAGCTTTAACAAGCGGACATCAACGCAGTAGTATTTTAGCAAGCTTACGAACGCATATAGGATACCATCAGGATTGTCATTGGTTTTATTTCAAGTTGAAGAGGAGATACTTTCACGATGTAAATGACAGTAGAAATAAGTCCTACATATGTTGTTGTACTTCGTATTGGTTTAATATTCATGTAGAGTATGAGACATTAAGTGAAAGTTTTCTGAGGTACATCTGCAATTAATTGTCGGAAGGCAAAAATAAATAAGTAAATACTATACGTACTATTGCGTTTAGTACAGCTCTTCATACTGTACTATACGTACTATTGCGCTTAGTACAGGTCTCAATGCTGTACTATAGCACTATTGCGTTTAGTACAGGTCTCAATACTATACTGTACTAAACGAATAGTACGCGTACACAACAGTACAGTACTGGTTCTCCCCGACTTCCACCAAAGGGCGTGTTGGTGACGTCATCCTTAGGAAAGCCGCACAGTCTCGCCAGACAGGTCTCCTGTCTCCTCCCGCCGCGAGCTGCCAGAGCTCCAGTACCAAGTACTGGCGTACTGGTGTGCTGGGGGTACGAAGGTAGTGGCTAGCAGGGGAGGTGGCAGCCATGAGTGACGCAAGTGGTGGTTCGAACGTATCTCCCGATGCACCTGCTCCCGCGCCGGGTTCCTCACCCGCACCGGGTTCTTCACAACAAGAGGCGCAAGAAGACGTGGTGGTGGTGGCGGGCTCTACGAGTGGAGGAGGTTCGCAGCAGTCCGTGATCCCCCGGAAGCCTGCACCGATCTTCGACGTGCACGGAGCGGAATACACCGTGCCGGAGGTTACGAAGAGCGCCATCGAGTCGTTCACAGCGCCCCCCGGTTTCCACCAGGA